CGGAGGCTAGTGAGTGTCAWTCAGGGAGTGTGGCTTTGTTCTGATTAATGACCATGATGTGCTCAAAATTGTCAAACTCCAGGTATATGATTGAAATTGTCGAGGTTTTTGTGCAGAACTCTGGTTTTGTTAGCTTTCTCCTGGGTCTCAGCAACAACCTTCTGATATCTTCRAGCTAAAMGTAAAAAAATATTCCTTGCTCCACTTTTGATTAATATTCCTTGAAAGAAAAATGTGTTTCCACATATATAGCCTAAAGAGAGACGCCAGCATCCAGACGTCCCAATCTGAAGGAGGCTTTGTGTTTTAGTAAAGGTTAATTAAGATCCATCGGATTTTTCCCCTTAAAATATAAAAGTAAAACAATATAATTAGCTATTTTTTTCCTTTTCCCCCAAGGGCGGATTTAAATGTTCTACCTAAATGAAGCTATTTATTTAAATCTGTCCAGATTTCCTTTRAAGTTTCATATACCTTTCTTCTGCTTTATCAGCTTATAGCTACAATAATTTAATAAGTTTTTCCTGGGGTGAAATTGGAYGCCCTTTATCAATCTTCCACTGAGGGGGCATTCAATTACTTCATCTGAAGTGGTATTTCTGGGTCTCTCAATTACAAGTTTGTTATAAATGGCTTGCTAATGATGCCTGGGGTGCACAGGTTAACAGGGGCACCCAAGCAGAGGTGAGTAATTGGAGGCTTTCTATTTGGGGAGTAGCTATCTGATCTCACAGTGGCGCCGGGCTCCTGCAGCAGGGGCCTGCACCCATAGGGCACAGAATGGAGCCCAGCTGGGCAGCCATCGAGCTGAAATGCACACCTGAGGMCGGGAGCTGATGTGGGCATGGGAATGCCAAGTGCCCTGTGTACTGTGGGTGTGCTGGCACCAACGTGGACATTCTAGACAGGTGGCGCGCAGGGGTACGCACTGCGTACTTTTGAAGGAAGAACACCTTGAGTGCCAGGCTTCTGAACAATGGCTCGTGGGATAACCCATGGCATGTGGAAGAGGCCAGTTACRGATCTTGATTGCAATCTGCTTTCCTTCCTGCAGAGTCGTGGTAATTTGATGATTTAATTTTTCTTCCCTGAGCTATTTAATAGCTACACGGATTGTACAGATCGCTTTGAAAGAACATGCAGTGTGCCTCCCTCCACATTCTGGCTCTCAGGGAAGCCGAGCTCTGGCCCCTGCCTCCTCACCAATCTGGTCCCTGTGCCCCACCAGCCCACGCCCCTAAAGGTCTGCCCTCCAGGAGTACCCAGGGGCCTGGACCCCCTGCTTCTCTCCACAGGCTCCGCCTCCTCTGGTCTCCCTGGGACCGGCTCCTTCTTGTCATTCAGGCTTTAGCTCCGGTGTCCCCCCGATGTTAGTTCTCTGGTCACCCTGTGTTTGGATTCCTTCCCCTCCGGTGGCTGTTCTTGCCTGGGTTGACTATGCCTTCCAAGGGACCTGTGACCACGTCTGAAGACGTTTCTGGTTGTCACATCTAAGGGGAGGGGTGCTCCTGGCATCTATAAGTAGAGGTCAGGGTTGCTGCCCAATGTCCTGCAGTGCGGGGGACAGTGCCCTTGGCATGGAATCAGCTGGCCCAGGCAGGGTGCAGTGAGAACCCGGCCTGTGGACTTCCTGGGTTCCGCCTGTCGGTCCTCACAGCCTGTATCGCGCCTGAGGCTACCTCACACGCACCTTCTTTATACGTGTCCCAGGTGCACAGAGCTCAGCCAGGAAAAAGCGCCCCTCTGGGCCACCTCTGCACCAGCTCGCTCATGGGAGGGCTTGTCTGGAAGCCTCAACTCAGGGCTCCCGCTCGCTCCCACGGGCACCAGCCATGTACCCGCCTGGCTGTGAGACGGGAGTTTACCCACCTGCACGGAGGCATATTTTACGTGCTATACAGTGTGTTTTGGTAAAATCTAAGATTTTTTGTTTTCTCAAAGAGGTCACCCAGGGGTGTTTCCAACACCATCAAATTATGTACCTCCTGACTGCAGCTGGAGGGTCACTACTTCCTGGAGTTCATGGGCTCAAGTGTGCCCCACTTTGGGCACCAGTCAGGAGTACYGGGTCCCCAGGGCACATGCCTATGTCCAAATGGCCAGAAAGGTGGGGGATTCCCACGGCAGCCTGTGTGGACTTTGTAACTCCCCTGAGTGACTGAGGGTCCTCAGGAAAGGCTCCTCCCGCCATCCACAGTGTATCACAGAAGTGGCAGCTCAGGAGCTGACAGTGGGACAGATACCAGGGCGTGCCCAGGAGGACTGTCTCACAACACAGGAGGTGGTTCCGTGCTGTCCCTCTGCATGCCCATGTCCCCGAGCAACCCCGTGGCTCCCTGTCCTTTAGGGGCTTCTGTGGAGGTCCCATTATCGTAGCATGAGTTGACGGTCACCTCACTGGCTGCTGCTGTTACCTCAATCCCCAAGTTCCTACCAGGAATGTGGGGGATCTGGGCTGAAAGTTCCAAGCTTCTAACCAAGGCTTGTCTTTTTGGTGACCAGTGCCTCTCCTGAAGACACCTAGATGTTCACTGAGGGTCACCTCATTAGCATAAGTTCACGTGTTCTTGGAAGAGGCTTGTGAATGACAAACCATGCTTCCAGCTTCTTGGACGCTCAGCCCGCCAAGGATTCAGAAACTGGCTGGGAGGAGGCCAAGTGTGTATTATTTCTATGTATACACACCCCCAACCTGCAGTGGCTTCAGGCCCCACCCCTGAGCATGCCTGAAGAAGAGTCTTTTCCAGGAGGGAGTGAATGGCTGATGAATGAATGACAGGAGCAGAGAGTACATTGTATCTGAGCGTTTTCCCAGGGGTTCAACACACCTCCGGTTGTGGGCCGTTCTCTGCGGTCAGAGGCCAGCCTTGCAGGAGCTGCGCTGGCTGCAAGGTGCAGCTGTCCAGTAGACAGCAGGCCTGGTCCCTCCGTAGGCCGCCTGTCGCTCCCCTGACTTCCCAAGTTTATTTATGTTGCTTGGAATAAGATACTTTTGCTCTTGGTTAGAATGTTTTGCCCATTCTTTTGGGTCCAGATTATGTACATTCCTGTCCTGAGGCTTCAAAGCCCATGTTTGTTTGTTTGTTTGTTTTAAAAAAGAATCTAATTAGGCCTTCTGCAGAGAGAGGCTGCAGGGTGCAGACTCCCTCCCGGAGCTCCTGGTTGAGTCTCATTTTGACCCCACGTGGCCTGGACTTCGGCATGTGAGAAAATGTTTTCTTGGCTTTAGTGATGGACTTTCCGAGTAGGGGATCTTGCCCTTTTGTTTCTTTGGTTTGGAAGAATTGTTTGTACCAAGTAATGGGTCAGGGGTGATTAAGCCAGCTGAAGCAGAGGTCTGGGCTTGAGGCCCCCCACATGCCCTCCAGCTGCCCTGGGGGATGCAAGAGGCCAGAGCCCAAGCCTTCTGGCCTGGCTCTGAGACCAGCTCCTCCCACCTTCCCTCTGTGCAACCTCACCGCCCACGCGCCTGCCCCAGCCTCTCAGCCCGGGCTGACCAGCTCTTCTCATGCTGGTTCCTGGAGACTTTATGAACATTGTTTGGTCAATTCTGTTTTGCAAATTTCGTGTATTCTCTTCCTTGTGACACAGATATTATTAGCATAGTAAAGCCCCGCTTTACGAATCCCATGTCATCTTGTCCATCTCACCTTTTCTCCGAATAATGGGAGCGTGAATACTTACCGACAGCACGCAGAACCTGGGCTTTTCGGTGCAAGGGAAGGTTTCTTCTGGAAAGTTCTGATTGGTCCGACCTCTAGCCAGGACAAGGAGACTCTAATGAAGGGTAGATCGATGCCGCCTCTGGGGACAGGATTGTTTGAGGGGTGTGTGAGGAGAGGATTGTCAATCACTAAGGAAAGTTCATGGGGCCGAGGGTCTTCCTTCTGGGATTGCATTTCAAATATCCATGGTGTTCATCACAATTTTAAATCATAATAAATGAATAATAAATAATAAATAAATCATCATCATTGATGATATGGTTATCAATGTTACATAACTTTTATGGGATGTTAAATCTGTGTTGGGCTTTATGCAAACATATAATAGCTAATTCAGTACTTGTTACAAACTTATAGGAGAGTGGCCAAGGCTCCAAGAGGTTGGGTGTCTCGCTCAAGGCCACGCAGCCAGTAAGGGGATCTACCATGGTGAGAAACCAAGTAGGCCTCTTTGTTTTGCTCGCTCGGTGCTCCTTTTAAGACATCCACAAAGAAATGTCTTTTGGGCAACAATACATTTTACAACCACAGGACTGTGTTAATGGATCTTTAAGAATCATGTCTTCCCCAGGATGACGGAAGTGGAAAATTATTTCAGGACCTGAAGTGTTCCGCTGCTCAGGGGAACACTGTACGTTGGACTTGATTGCTTAATAACTTAAAGCCAAATGTTTTTTATATGATACACTCCGCTGAAGGAGAGAATCATTTCATTGTTTTAAATTTTCATTAACTTTTGCTTCCGAAGCYGATAGTAAAGGTTAGCTCCAGCAAAAGACCGTGGATACTGTTGGGAGGGAAAGGCTCTATTTCTCTGTGTTCCTATCCCAACGGTTCTCCTGATTATTCTTCAGCTTTTACCACGGACTTGAAGGCACTAATATCTGAATTTGTCCCTCCAGTTCATAGTCATTGGCTGGATAGAGGCTGGGAACGGTTGCAGAACCCTGGGGCGGAGACGCCTTAACTTAGTCGAAGTAAGAAGGCAGAGACACTGCGGGGTGGGGGACAGCCCAGAACCAGGCGTCCCACGTGCTGCTGCTGGTGTTGGTGGCTGGGCCACAGTTGTTGGCAGAGACTGAATTCCAAAGCCAAGTGCGGGGACTCGAAACCTCTCCCTTTCTCCTGTAGGATTTTGCGACTTGGTTGAGACCAAGCAGGCTTGGCTGGAATTGAGAAGAGGAGAGACACGAACAGCTATTCCTGTCTGGAAGAGCGTCCCCGGGCTCTTGCTCTTACCATGTAACCCAGTCAGTCTTCTTTCTTTATGTTTAGGTAATCGGACATTTTTAAGAGCTTTCTCCCCACGAAGAGGAAACCTCCCAAAGGAACACAGGATGTGACCGTGGAAACCCTCATGGGCAACTCTGTGGATGGCGCGCCAGTCCGGGGCTGCAGGAGAAGATCATGAGCGCTCCTGATGTGCGGCGCGACCCCACGCTCCCCAGCGATACTGCTCGTGGCGTGATGGGGAAAACCTGAGGGACAGGCAGAAGCGCTCCCCGCCTTCCCGATGCCGTGGCTGCTATAGAACATGACCATCGGGGTCACTTCCCCTTGCTGTCTTGCAGAGTCAAGCCAAAGCATGTGCTTCCCCCTCCTCCCCCCTGGGTTCCTGCCGTGTCTCGGTCTGTCTCTGCTGCCTTCCCACCATCTGATGTAATCGCAGGACMTCCATAAGGCTTCCCGGCACTCCCTGGGGCTCACCCATGGCTGGCTAAGCCTCAGTCCAAGGGCACTACCATGAGGCCCTGCATCGACCGCTGCCTACAGCTGTTAGCCGACGACACACACAGACAGCAGGTCAGCTGCCGAGGGGGCCCCCACCAGAGTCACCAGGCGTGCCCCGCATGCAAAGGAGAAAACAAGATCCTGCTTCGCGTGGACAGTAAACAGATGAACTTGCTCGCTGTTCTTGAAGTGAGGACCGAAGGGAACGAGGCCTGGGGCGGGTTTCTGCGCTTTAAGAAGGGGAAGCGATGCAGCCTGGTGTTTGGACTGGTCATAATGACCTTGGTGATGGCTTCCTACGTCCTTTCTGGGGCTCACCAGGAGCTTCTGATCTCGTCTCCTTTCCACTACGGGGGCTTCCCCAGCAACCCCAGCTTGCTGGACGGTGAAAACCCAAGCGACCTGAAGGAGCATCACCACCAGCCCCCTGTGAATAACGTGTCCTACGTCAAGGACTATCCCAGCATCCAGCTCGTCATCAGCAGCATCACCGCCAGGATCGAGTTCACCACCAGGCAGCTCCCCGACCTGCAAGACCTCAGGAGGCAGGAGCTGCACGTGAGTAGCCTCTCGCSGACCTCCACCGGTGGACTTTAAAAGAGGGTTGCTTCCTTTTCCAGCCCCATTTCTTGAGGAGAGTGGGGATGAGTTGACAGGCTGCCRATCAGGGCGCACTGTCGGCTCACCTGGGGAACACCCGGAAGGGGGTTTGAAGTCCTGAACAGCTCAGCTAGAGATATTTAAGGACCGTCCCCCTCATGATTGCGTTCTAGGACTTCTTGCTTGAAACAGAGCCGTGGTGGCCACCGTTGGTTTTGTAGGTGGCCACCATTTGGAATTTTAAAGTTAGGCTTAATTTCACTTTCAATAATTCTATGCTTATCGWTGTTTTGATGCTATTTAAATGTACGACTAACAAGAAAGGTCCCGACTATTTAATTTAGATTGCTGTGTGTGKGGGAGAGATACATCATGATAGGATGGATTTTAACTAAGTCTTTATCTACATTTATCTTCATTTAATCTCCTTTTATCTCCATTTTTTTTTTTTTGGTTTTTATTTTTGGAAAAAGAAAACATAGTCATTGGCTGCCTACCAAGTTTAGCTGTTAAATCGCTGTCAAACACAGTTCAGATTGGAGCACACACGGGGATTGGGGCGCGATGGCATGGTGGTGGCAATCTTTCTGCTAACTCTTCCTCCCTGGGGGCCGCTCTCCCTTTTCTCTTCTCATTGCAGATGTTCTCGGTCATCCCCTCTAAGTTCCTGCCCAACAGCAAGAGCCCCTGCTGGTACGAGGAGTTCTCGGGGAGGAACACCACTGACCCCTACCTGACCAACTCCTACGYGCTCTACTCCAAGCGCTTCCGCTCCACTTTCGATGCGCTGCGCAAGGCTTTCTGGGGCCACCTGTCGCATGCGCACGGCAAGCACTTCCGCCTGCGCTGCCTGCCGCACTTCTACATCATCGGGCAGCCCAAGTGCGGGACCACTGACCTCTACGACCGCCTGCGGCTGCACCCGGAGGTGAAGTTCTCSGCCATCAAGGAGCCGCACTGGTGGACCCGGAAGCGCTTTGGTGCGTTGGGTGGCTCCTTCCAGCTGCCCTCTGGTTCATTCCTTCCCTGAAGTGGGCAGGGCTGGGCCGTTGAGGAGGTGGGCCATTTATTAGACCGTTGCCTCCGTCAGTTTAGTGTTACTGTAACAAAATACCAGAGGCTGGGTAGCTTACAAGGAAAGAGATTTATTTGACTCAGGATTCTAAGAGTTGAAGGGTCCACACAGCATGGTGCTGGTCTTCTGGGGAGAGGCCTTGGCTGCACGATGACATAGCCTGGAAATAGAAGGGAACTGGCCATGTGCCGCAGAGGCCAAGCCATGGGATGGCCTGGCTTCCTGAAGAACACTTGTTAGGGTCGGGCAAACGTGGGAGGGAGAGACCACCAAGAGGCTTGTCTCATGCAAAAGCAAAGGGTTTATTGGGGGGGGGGAACCAGCATGCTGGGGCCCAGAGTTCTCCTGAGAGAAACTGGAGCCGAGTACAGCTTAAGCCGAGTTTTTATACAGTGTTTAAACAGGGAAGTTTACATGGCAGTTAGGGTGCGAGAGTGGGATTGTTACAAAATAASCATGACAGAATGATCATGCGTTTTGTCAGGGGGTGTTGGGCCAGGGTACATTTTGACATAAGTAACTGTTTTGAACATAAGTTTCGGGTTCCAGGAAGACAGAACTTAAACTTACAGAAAAGCAAAACTTAAGAGAAAAACTTAAATTTAACCTTTACACACTCTCATGAGAGACCCCCGCTAATCCCTTCTAGGAAGGGCCTCCCTGACCTGGGCACCTCTGAAGGGCCCTGTCACCCAGCCTCACCACACCCAGGCTGGAACCCGTCCCCAGCCACGTGCCAGCTGAGGGTAGGGCAAGGGAACGACGGTGCAGATCGGGGAGTCTTGGCAGGTGACCYCTGCAGTGAGCAGGGAGGGCCTGGGCCTGGGCCTGGCAGAGCTCTGGGCAGTGGTAGCCAGCACCTGCTCTGGGCTGCTTTGCTTTTGCATGAGACAAGTCTCTTGGTGGTCTCTTCCTCCCACGTTTGCCCGACCCTGGAGCCCCCACACGTGGAGGAGACGCAGCTGCCCTGGGCTCAGCTCCTCTGGCCTGCCCTGACTGCCGTACAAGTATCAAGTGCCACTGGGACCACCGAGACCCTGCTTTCTACCCGCTTGGCCTCAGGGCTGACTGTGGACACAGCCCCAAGCATCCTGTGGCCCTCCGGTCACTCTTTCCTCTCGGTGACCTTTCCCTTCTGCCAGGAGACGTTTGGTCATGGAGCTAAGGGGCGATACCCGGCCCGTTGTCTGCCAGAGTCTGGGWGGCCCCAGGGCGTGCTCTGCCTGAGGACCAGGCTGGCTAGAGAGAACCTCAAGGGTCTTCCTTAGACCCACTTCTGAGTGCTTCCTGACCCAYGTCTGGTCTCAGCCTTTGGCTGTCAGCCTGGGGCGGGTGAAGGTGTGTTTCTTTTGTGGTTTCCCAGTGCTGCATGGCAGCCAGGGCTCCACCATGTTGAGCCCACGCCCCGCTGTTGGGTAMACTCCCCTCTGGGCCACTGTTCCCCTTAATGCAAACCAGCTGGCCACTGACAGGACAGGCAAGGACAGGTTGTGCCTGGGACACTGGTGCTGCTCGGTCACCTTGAAGCTCATGTTGTTTTGACCCGACTCTTTTTTCCATTTATGCTAACCCGGACGGCTGTGGTATCTGGGGGTGTGTTTTAAATGTTCACAAGTGAAATTTTCCATTTTTAAAGCAAGGGCCAAGTTGGCTGATCCCAGAACCTGTGTCCACCCAGGGGAAGATCATGGCTCTTGACATTTAGACTGATGGCACACTACTGGAACACGTAGGTGACCAGGAGGAAGAGGACAGGGTGTCACCTCCTGACTGGCTACCCTGTGTGTGTCCTGGGTGTTGGAGCTGCCTGAACACGTTAGGATCTCAGCGGGTACACACAGCAGCCAGTCCCGAGCTCTGGCCCACCACATAGACACATTGTAGCTCTTCAGTAGGTCCCCAGCCTTTGGTGCCTTCCACCCCATGAAGCATGTGTGCCTTGGAASCGGGCAGCCAGTTGGCTGAGGCCCCCTCCACCCAGGTCCCCCTCTGATGCGTACCTGGGCTGAGCCTTTGGCTGCTGCAGTTGGGCCCCGGGGGCCTTTACCCCGTCTAAGGTCATTCTCCAGGAAGCCACCATCCTAGCAGTGACAGTTTGTCCTGAGTAACTTTGGCTTCTTGGCTCCTGTAGGAATTGTCCGCCTTCGAGATGGGCTGCGAGACCGATACCCTGTGGAAGATTACCTGGACCTCTTTGATTTGGCTGCACACCAGATCCATCAGGGCCTGCAGGCCGGCTCAGCAAGGGAGCCGAGCGAGATGAACAAAATCATTATTGGTACGGTGTCTGCGTGGCCCCCAGGGCTGGGCGGGGTTGGGGGGTCTTCTCTGGGGTCCTGGCTCAGCTSTGCTTCACCTGCAGAGCCCTTGCCAATGGCTGCAGGGACCATTGAGCCTCCAACTCCCCACCTGGCTATCACTCTTAGGCCTGTGTAAAATATTCACCTCGTTTGAAACATCAATACAAAGCAGAAAAGCCTAGTCTACTTTGTAACTCCAAGCAGACTCAATATTGAAATGACTTTTTTTTTTTTTTTAAGTTTCCATGTCTGTTTTTACTTAAATTAAGTAGGGGTATGTGACATGGCTTCTTGTATAATCTACTGATTTAAGTTTGGGGGATCATAACTGCAACCATTTAGCCAGGCAGAGTGGTGCTAAATGGTGGTAAATCCCAGCGGCTTCTGGGGCTGAGACAGGAGGATGGCAAGTTCAAAGCCAGCCTCAGCAATGGTGAGGTGCTAAGCAACTCAGTGAGACTCTGTCTCTAAGTAAAATACAAAATAAGGCTGGGGATGCTGCTCAGTGGTTGAGTGTTTCTGAGTTCAATCCCTGGAAAGACCCCCCCCCAATTGCAACCAATTAGTCATTGATTTAATACTTTAGCTTTGATAACTGGGTCGCTGGGGCTGCATGAGGCTGGAGACTGCATTCCCTGACATGGACAGAACTCAGTGTAGCATCTTTGGATATTATTGCTGATTAAAAGACCCTGCCTGGTCCACCAAATGCCTTTGCATTCAAAATGAGRTTTTTTTGATTAAGTCTTTCTTTTTTTAAATGCAAGTGTGTCTTATTAAAAATCAATATGTCTATGCTCTTAAGGATTATTGCATATATTTAGGTGTATACATGATATTTTGATATGATCACCATAGCCAGCAAATTAGCATGTTTGTCTCCTTGAATAGTTGTCTGTCTATTTTTTATTGTAAGAGCACCTAAAATTTTTGGGGGGCAAATTTCCAGTATCCCATACAAGTCATCAACTCTGGTCATCAGGTCGCATTCTGTCTCTGGACTTACTTTTCCAACATATCTAACTGGATGAGGCTGGCTGATGTGTTCTGAAAGATGGACATTTAATCTTACATATTGCTGAAGCTGGTTACTTGTGGCAGTGGTCTAATTTTTTGTCTTCCTAGACCTATTATATCTTGATTCTCCAGGTCTAATGAGCCTCTGAGTGAGCAGGATGAATTCAGATCAGCYGCTCAATGAGAACTCCCTGCATGCCCATGTCCAGGGAGCAGGCATATGTGCCCCAAACCTGAAGGATCGATTTTTTTTTCAAACTCAGAAATAAGTCACCGGGAGCCAGTGAGATTGTTACCCAGCCCACCTCCCCCTACGCCACCTGCAGTATGAATTGGCCGTTACTTATTTATGTATTGCAAAATCAGGGCGAACACCCCAAACAGTAAGTCTAATTAATATTTTGCCATAATGCACATGACRTGTGCTTCTGGGAGAAGTCTCAGGGTCTATGAAGGAGCCACAAACATTCACACTGGGCCAGGAAACAGAGATTTAGGTAATGAATGAAAAAGGAAAGCCTGTGTTTGGTTTCCTAACTTTAGTTATGGCTAGATTTAAAAAAGAAAGAAAGAAGAAGAAGAAATAAAAATACCACACTGATAGTTACTTCAAGCAGAGTTGGGTGCGTTTCCTGGCAGCCTGTGGCATGATAAGCAGGTGCAGAGGCAGAGGAAGAGTGGACATCTGGTCCTGCCTGTCACCACCTGTGACACCACTCTGTGCCGCGTGAAGAGTCAGGCCTCTGTCYTGGGCTCAGTAGACACCTCTGTGAGATGGGATTGTTGGGCCAGGCCAGTTCTAGGCTTTGCCCAACTCTGATGCAGGATTCAGTTCTGCCTCAGCCCTTCTCCCCTGTTAGGTCCTCAGCAGAGATGGACGGTCTCATCACCATGGCTACGGGTCAGAGGGGGTCCTTCCTCTGCAGTGAGAGGCACACAGGGCTCAGGACCCAGGTGGATAGATTCCACGGGGTAGGGGCTTTGGCATGTTGCAAGGCCCCTGACTGCTTGTGGGGCATTGGCCCTAACTCTTCTTAGCACCCTCAAGTGGTACTGACGGCTTCTTGAACTGTCTGCCCTGGACTGTGAGGGCCCAGAGGGGAGGTCCATGCCTGTCTCATTTCCCTCGTCTGTCCCAGCACCTGTCACGAAGCAGGGTGCCTATTAGACRTCAAATGATGGTTCCCAGGTGGGTGAGGGGTGGATGACGGACAGATGGCAGACAGACAGAGGGACGCAAGGGACACATGCCTCTGTGGCTCTGGACCAGTTCCCTTGGAGAACTGACATAATTTTTTGGTGCCAGTCTAGCTTCAGATGCTGCACCTGTCTTTTACGCTCTCTTTTTCATGTGAGTAGATGCTCAGAAGCCTCCCCATCCACTGGTCTTTTCTGTATCCGAGGGTGTCACGACTTAAAAACCAGAACAGAAACGAGACCATGTGCCTTGACTCGGATTTCCCCCAGGAGGTGGCTTGGAGGTTGTCAGAGAAGCCTGTGCCCCGTTCAGGAAAGCGAGCATAGAGCGTTGATGGCCTTTCTTTCTCAATCCGAAGACAGTCCTARCAGACACGAAAAAACAAACCAGAAAACGGGATCGGTTCAGTGTCGGCGGGAGGGAGCCTTGTCCAAATGCCTGCTTTGGCCTGACCTCTGTCCTCGGGGGTGCATTCAGCTCTTTCATCCTTTGGTCACATGGACGGTGATAACCGGGCTGGGGCCTGTTCACCAGCCAGCACTGAGTGAGTGCCAGCTGTGTGCAGACAGGGGAGGGGGTGGGCAGGGACAGATGGTCTTTCAGAGACAGATGCGAGGCTGAGGCCCCTGAGGTTCTGGTGGTCTTCCCTTGCTGGGTCCTAGAGTGTACCCGCCACCAGCCACCGGGGAGTCAGGAAGACAGACGAGCTGTGCCCAACTCCCTGTAGAGGGTTGGCATCCCCAGACTATTGCTTGCTCCCTGATGTGTCTTAGAGGCTTTCCAAATGCCACAGAGCTTGCGCTGCCAGYGGCTAAACGCTGTGAGATGCAGGGTCTGGGTGCTGGTCATGGTTGTATTTCTGTTCTCCCTGGAAGACGGGCTGGGGGCGGAGGACGCTCAGTGTTCTGTGGATGGCCTGAGTCTCCAAACAGAGGTCCTTGGGGTGGGGGCGGGAGCCAGGTGGTGGGGGGAGCGCTGGCCCTCCTCTCCCTGGAGTCCATCTGCTGGCCACGGCTGACCGGCTCATCTGTCATGGCTATTGAAGAGGGAGGCAGGCGAGCCTGGCTGGGCCTTTGGCTCACTCGCATGGGAGCCGGTACCCCAGCCGGCAGCTGCTCAGTTGTGGGGCTTTCTGTTTCCAGGGGAGGCCAGCGCCTCCACCATGTGGGATAACAATGCCTGGACCTTCTTCTACGACAACAGCACCCATGGGGAGCCGCCATTCCTGACCCAGGACTTCATTCATGCCTTTCAGCCACATGCCAAGCTGATTGTCATGCTCAGGGACCCCGTGGAGAGGTGAGCATTTGGGGTGAAGTGAAAAGGCACTTGGGAAAGCAGCATTTCCCCAGCTCAAACAAGACTTTGCTTCTTAAAAAAAAAAAWAAATAAACAAGCTTAACTTGCAATGCCACTGCTATTTCTTATGTAAATGTTATTCCCAGGCCGAGCCTCCTGCCTTTAAACAAACCATAGATTGTTTTCTTAGCAGTTCTGACCCTGGTCTGTGGGCCTTGGCCCCTGACACTTTGACCTGGGGACATGGGGTGCTTTCTGCTGTCAGGGCTTGGGCACAGCTTGGGATCAGGGATATTGGTGTCCTCTGTGTGGTCTTACTTCTTCTGACTCTGTTGATGCCCTTTTCCTTAATAGCCCTGACTGTGAGCTCTCCAGCTGTCCTTGACACCAAAAGGAAGAAAAATGATGAGCAGACGAGCTTTGTCTTTGCAGTCAGGGGTCGGTCACTGGAATGAGGCAGAGCCCACTCCATAGTGGACAGACTGTCCAGGGATGGCCTGGCTGCTGCTGGGAGGCCTGGACCTTAGTATTTAGTCCAGCGTTCCCTCTAAGTGCCACCACATCAGGCACAAGGTGGGCCTCCGGCCTGCCCTCCTGGGATGCCAGTCTCCATCAGGCCGTTCAGCGTTTCTGGCTTTGAGAGTAAGTCCATCTTGGGGCCATCTACACTTTGGTCCCATTTCTTCTCCTTACAGCCACATCGTCCAGGCCTATTATTTCCAAATGGGGAGAACCTGCCAGAGGTTTGGAGATGGGGTCACAGCCCTTCATGTCTTGTTTTCCTTGGGGCCAACGACATTTTGTTATGGGTTCAGTCGGGCTCCCCAAAAGGCATTCTGAAGTCCTGAGCCCCAGTGTTTGCAGCTGTGGCCTTATTTGGAAATAAGGTCTTTGCAGATGAGGTCAGACTGAACTGTGTTGGAGGGATGCTGTCCCTCCCTAAGGCACAGGGTGCATGCCAGGTACGAGGTGGGAGTGTTGTAGCCTCAAGGCAGGGAATGCCAAGGATGGTGGGCAAGGCAGAGGCGGGGAGACAGGCAGGGAGACAGGCGTGGCTGATTCTCCTCGGAACCCCCAGGAGGAGCCAGCTGTGCCAACACCTGGCCCGGGACTCCAGCTCCCTGAGTGATGGAGGAGATTCCTATTGTCAGGGGCCCCCTGTGTGTGGCGATCTGGCTCAGTGGCCCTTGGAAACACGCACACCTGAGTTCTCACATCCTGGCCCCGATTCTAACAGGAGTCATGTTTATGGTGGAAAATACTAGAAAATACATTGAAACACTTTAAAGAAAAAACTGTCATTCGATCACCTATAGTCTCCCACCAAGATAACGACCATCTAAATCCTGGTATGTTTTCGCCCCGACTTCTTTTCTGTGCAGGCCACGTGGGTGCCACTCGAGGGCTTGCTGGAAAGTCCACCCTGCTGAGTGGACGTCCACATCCTCTAGACCTCCACATCCCTCCTGCGGAGTCTCAGAACACTTCTGAGTGGGCTGTCAGGGGAGAGCTGGGCTGTCCGTCCCTTGGCACTGGGCAGGAGGGAGCCTGCTGGGCTGGGCCAAGGGGCAGTTCACCCTCTGCGCACCTCCCAGCCTTGGGAGCACGTCTGCCCAGATCTGGGAGGGCCGTGTCCCACCTGCCAGTCCCCACCCTGCCGAGGCAGGAATCTGGCTCCTCTCCTCAGGGAGCAGGCCGGCCTCTCTGGCCCAGAACGTTTCACGAGCGGCAGTGCTGTCCTGCAGACGGGCTGCCTGACCACGGGCCTTCCGAGGACAGGTCCCGAGGTGTCTTCACAGCTGCTCCTTCTCTGGCCCCCACGCGGCCCAGCCCCCTGCTCAAGTTCACAGGGTGGGACGTTCTCAGGCCTGTGCCTCTGCTCACCATGTGTCTTCCCGCCACTTTTCCTGGTTCCTTCTGAGGACCGTCAGACTGTGCCCAGCCTTGTGGCCCCAGAGTGAGAGCAGCAGGCGTGGGTAGCTCTCTGGACAGTTGGTCTGGCCTGGCCTGAGTGTGTGCCATCCCTGCTCTGGCCTGGGGAGATGGGTGCTCCTGGGCTGGGCTGGCCCTGCAGACAGGCATGGCCAGGGCGTGTCGTGGTCCTGCAGACTCAACAGGAGCTGAAGTGGACAGAGGGAGCAACCCTGAGTGGTGAGGGCCATGGAGCTGGCGGAGCCAAGGTCAGGCTGGGCTTCAAGGCTGGGCAAGGGCTTGTCATGGGAACAGGAAGGAAGGTGGGCCACGGGGAAGCCGGGGGGAAGTGGGCACACGGTGAACCTTGGGCAGGGAGGGCAGCCATGCTGCCCAGGCTCAGCAGGAGCAGGACCTGACTGACTCGCCCCAGCCCCAGCCCTAAGTCGGCCTCTGGAGGAGGCTCGGGCCCACGCTGTCCCTCCAGAAGCCGTAAAAAAACCCACCACCACCACCAMCAACAACAAACACCCTGTTCTAGGAACGGGAGGCACAGGCTTCTCACTCCTGAGTCCTCAACTTGACAGAAATACTTGGTCAGTTTAAGCACTTATCGAACCCTGCCTCATGCTGGGCGCTGTGCTGGGTGCTGAGTATTGCGTGGTGGTCCTGTGCCTGCCCGCTGGGAGCAGAGGAGTGGCATGGACTCTGGCATGGCCACTGTGACGGGGCCAAGGCCAGGAGGGCAGGCGGTGGGGCAGCGGTGATGYCCAGCGGTCCTTGCTGGCCCCCGTGTGAGGAACCCCTGCTCTTTGCTGGCTGTTAACTGGAGGCTGCTCCCAGGCCCTGGCCACCAGGCTTTCCATTGTGGCCATGGGCTTCATGAGAGAAGCAAGGAACAAGGTGGCCAGTCAGAAGTGGTGGTCATTTGCAACCGGATCAAGGGTGTGACAGCCCATCCTGGTAGCTGTATCTCATTGGCCAGATGCAAGTCACTGTCCTGTCACACTTCCATGCCTCGGGGTCAGTCACCCCTCACCTGGCTCTCGGCATTCCCCACCCCATGCTTAGGACGCTGGTGCAGGGCTTTGCAGCCCAGGGAAGAGTGACTTCCAGCCACAGCAGGACTGGACGTTCATGTGCACGTTTTCCCTGTGAGTTACTGACAGCAGCAGCTGTCTCTTGGATTCTTAAACATTTATAAAATGTGCAACAGTAGGAATCTCTCCTTTGAGCCTGTGACCCAAGGGCTATCTGAAGTGGCTGGCCCTGTCCCCATCCTGGCCAGAAAGGATGRTAAATACGAGTGCTTAGGTCACTCTTGAAGAAACAAACGCTCAGAGCCGAGTTCCCATTAGTCTAACTGGCTCCTGGGCCGTTGACCCACTTCAGTCATCCCGTGACCTTGTCCTTCTGCAGTAGGAGATTCCTTGGGCTGCTGGACGGCAGTTGGATCTTTCCAGATTGTTCTTTTCCTTCTGCAAATCAGTTTGGTGGGGGAGGGGATTATGTCTAGTTTTAGATTCACATTTAGCCTTTATTTCTATCATTGATCAAAGATAAGGGAGTTTGAAAATGTTGGACTTGGGAGCCAGGCTGAATCACATTTAAGTTTCTGGAGAAGAATATAAAGGGTAAGGCCTCCCCCCACCCCGCCCCAGGAAAATAGAGGAATGATGGGAGGAAGTGGGTAGGATGGTTCATGTGGCAGAGGCYGGCCAAGAATTCTTGTTCCAAGCTTCTCTCCATAAGAGATTGCTGCAATTCAGAACTAAAAAAAATGCATTCCTATGCTAAATTGGCTCACTTAATTAAAAAGAAGCCACCAATTACAAGCAGATTTTCTTCATTTAATTCTTCTCTTAAATGGTAAAGAGGGCTCTTTTCAAATGCACTCTCCTAGCCTCCTGCTTCTTCATTTGTGAGCTGGTGGTAGATTTTGCTTAACTGGGGGGAGGGGTACAGCCCATGCAATGTGAAGAAAGAGCTGGGAGATGCTTCCCCTCCCCCCGCCCCTGAAATCTTGCTTTCCTCTCCATTCCAGAGACCTTTGCCTTCTAGAGACCCCCACCTGCTAGGGGGGTTATGGTGTCGACATTTTGCTTCTACATATAGTCTCAGCACAGTGCCCAGCAAGGGCCACCACAGGAATGACTGGTCTTTGCGTTCTGTGGTGATGGGTCCACCAGGAAGGAGAACTCAGCTTCATTAGGAAGTAGAACTTGATTTCCACCCAGTCCCTCGAGCCTGGGAACCGGGTAGCTGTTTTTCTTGGTCTGCTTACAAACACTGATGTTTAAACAGCTCCCTGGTTGGTTAAATGATTAATCAACGTATGAGAAGACTCTAGGAAGGGAAGGCAGGGTTTAATGAAGTGCATCTGTTTATAGGCCATTATTCTTGGGGACACGGTAATGACRGGGCTAGTATTTAGACAGGAATCCCAGTTTCATTGATTTCACGGGGTCTGCAGAGAGCTGTAGGCGTGTGCTGGAGCAGCTTCTGATGCAGAGAGCCTGCGTGCATGGGAGGTGTGCGGGTCGGGAGATGAGAGGGGCGTGTTGCCCGGGCGGGCTGCGCTGGAACCCTGGCTCTCCTGCTCACTGGCTTTGTGACCTGGGCAAGTTACTTGACCTCCCGAGCTTCATTTCCTCCTCAGTAAAATGGGGGAGGCATAGTTTTACCTTTAGGACTGAGAATGAAATGACTTACTATATGTAGTGATGTGTTTAAACAGTGCTGACCAATGGGAAGTATTATATAATTATTAGCTACTGTTGTGCATCAGTAAGAGTAGTAATAATAACCAACAGGATGCTCCCTGAGTCTCTGTTGAGCGCCCTTGATGTGCCAGAGGCCTTAGGTACCTGGGCACTGCCATCCATACCAACCATCTTCATGACGTCTGCGACAATCAGGGGCAGGACAGTCCTCTGTGAAATAAATGACCCAGCACCCAGGTAGCTGGGCTGTGGCYTGGCTTTGCCCTTTGGACCTGTCCTCATTTGGGCTGTGCCAGCAGGTGGGAGGGCAGTCATGATGTGCCCAGAGGTGAGGTGCCTGGGCTCAGTGGGGTTAAGTCACCTCCC